GTGGAGCAGAAAGGTTAATTGTTGATGCAGCTGTAGAGCTCTCGTCCAAGGGCCATAATGTTCATATATTTACTTCATACCATGACAAAACGCGTTGCTTTGAGGAGACAGTCTCTGGTTTTATACCACTCTTTTTCCTAATTGTTCTTTTTATTTTTCTCTTCGAGAAGTTCTCTTTCTCGATTCTGGATGGAATTTATACACTCTGTGTTTTGAAGAAATCGAAAAATTCTGATGGTTTTTGAAAAAATGCGTAGGTACTTTTCCTGTCACGGTATATGGTGCTTTCCTGCCTCGGCATATCTTTTACCGTCTCCATGCAGTGTGTGCATATTTACGGTGCATATTCGTTGCTCTCTGTGTTCTCTTTTTCTATCCTTCGTTCGATGTTGTGATAGCCGATCAGGTTTCAATCGTAATTCCACTGATGAAGATGAAAAGGCGGTCAAAGGTTAATATGCATCCAAAATGCTGTTTTAATTTGTTATTGCTTATGGTCAGTGGATTGTAGTTTACACAGTTCATATTATTTTGTCTAGGTTATCTTTTACTGTCATTTTCCAGACCTGTTGTTGGCTCAACATACGACAACTCTTAGGAGAATCTATCGAAAACCGATAGACTTTTTGGAAGAAATAACAACAGGTCTTATTTATATACATAAAACCAAGATAATATTCTTCCTAGTTCCATCATAATATTATATGCCTTTGCTCTTTTAGGTATGGCCGACTTGATTCTTGTAAACAGTAAGTTTACTGCATCTACTTTCGCGAAGACTTTCAAGCATTTAAATTCACGAGGGATTAGGCCAGCCGTGCTCTATCCAGCTGTCAATGTGGATCAGTTTGGTGAATCTAATGCTACTAAGTAAATGACATGACGCTATCTCTTGGTATCTTGAATTTATAAAATTATCCTATAAATCTATGAGCCAAATGTTAGGAAATACATGTAAATATACTATGTCATCATCCATTCTTCTAATTCTTCTGTTTGCTGTGCTTTCAGGTTGAGTTTCCTGTCCATTAATCGTTTTGAAAGGAAAAAGAACATAGAATTAGCTATATCTGCATTTGCTATGATCTGCAACAGCCAACAGGGTTTTCTCGAAGGTGACAGCAAAGACGTGCTTTCCTTGATTGTTGCAGGTTAGTTTCATAATGTCTTTAAAATGCTTGAGCTTCTTTGTTGCAGGTTCAGAAATTTGGTAACTGTGTTCCTGTGACAACAAAATATTACGAGATCCACTCATGCATTTTTGTTCCACCAATTAACAGGTTTAGATGAAATTAACTTTTCGTATGGACTTTTGTTTGTCAGGTGGCTTTGATAGACGGCTCAGAGAGAATGTAGAGTATCTCGATGAATTGAAAGCTTTGGCCGAACGAGAAGGCGTAACTAACCAAGTCCAATTCATTACATCGTGTCCCACAACCGAAAGAAATACTCTCCTTTCACAATGTCTCTGCGTGCTCTATACACCTCAGGTCTCAGATTGCATTACCTACAATTATTGTCTATTAAAGTTGGAATTCTTCCCCCCAAAAAAAATATAAATTATA